GATACTCTTAAGTGAAATAAATAGGACACACATGTGTAAATACCAAAGAGTTTCTGTATTGTGAGAAACTGAAAGTGTAAATAAGGACTAAAAGGTATAACAGATAATATGAAATAGGAAGAAAAGGGGTAAAGGGGAAGCGGAAGTGGGAGGGGTAGGGGAAAGGAAAGAAGGGAAAGGAATTAATATTAGAAAATGAAAAAAATGGAAACAGTCTTTGTAAATAGGGAGGGCAGGGGAATGGGGAAAAATAATGAAGAGGTTATGTAAAGGTGCAGATTTCCAATGATGAATGTCATTATATCATATACCTAAAATGTATCAATAAAATTAATTTTAAAAAGAAAAAAAGTTCATAAGTCATGGGTCTACTGTAGTAAATTTTGTTTTTGGAATATTTGGACTATTCTGGGTCCTACAGTTGCATATGAACTTTGGAGGCAGCTTATCGGTTTCTATAGATGTTTATTGAATCTGTAGATCCACTTTTAAGTTTTTGTACCATCAGTGTTTATTTCATTAAACTATACTTCATTTAGACATCATTTTTCAGAAAACATAAAGAGCTGAACACAAACCAGTTTTTAAAACTTGTTTGAAATCTGTTTTAAATGATAGCACATTTTAAGGACTGGCGATGTAGCTCACTGGTGGAATACTTGTGTAGGCCCCGAGTTCAGTTCCCCAGCACCAGTGTATGTAGAGCATTCAGCCTGACTGGAACTCTGGCTGTCCTCTGAAAGTGTCGTGCCCTCCCACTCTGGCATAGAGGACGCTCATGCAGGGCAAAGGGTAGGGAAGCATGATCTTTGCACCATAAAAGCGGGGAAGAAACCCGTTACGGCCTGTCCCTACGTTTGAACTAAAAACATAATGCTCCACTTACTCTTTAGGTTTATTAACTTTGTGAGCAACTACAAGAATCCCAACCTGACCATTGCTTTCTCTGCTGAACGGAGTGTTGAAGATGAGCTGAACCGAGAAAGCGACAGTGATGTCTTCACCATTGCGATCAGCTATGGAGTCATGTTTCTGTACATCTCCCTAGCCTTGGGCCACATCAGAGGCTGCTGCAGGTTTCTGGTAAGTGTGTGAGGGGTGTGGCATGGGGAGGGGTGGCAGTGCACAGGAAGGGTGACATCATATTTTGCCCCTACTTATTCTTAATTCACTATATCCAAAATCGCCTTGAATACATTGTTCCTTTTGATGGACACAGGTGCACACTGCAAGTTAATTCAGTGTAACACTTGTTTCCTGCATGTTTTCTTCTGTTACAATTTTTTGATTTCTCTTACACTTAAATTTTCTTTCACTTCATCTAGTTTTTTCCCTAATTTGTCCAGTCCGTCACCCTAAGAATGTGAGCTTACAAAATATGTTGCTAGGGAAGATCTAGAAATCTTTTCATGTCTTGTCTTAAACTGAGAACTTGTACTTTTATTTAACTCTATACTCTTGTAAAGAAATAAAAATGAGGACAAAAGGAACTCTAACCAGTAATTTCTGTCTTTATTGCCTTGCAGATAGACTCTAAAATCTCCCTTGGCATTGCGGGGATCCTGATTGTGCTGAGCTCAGTGGCCTGCTCCCTGGGCATCTTCAGCTACATTGGGATCCCGTTGACCCTCATAGTTATTGAAGTCATCCCATTCCTGGTGCTGGCTGTTGGGGTGGACAACATTTTCATCCTGGTGCAGACCTACCAGGTATATTCCCATCTCCTTACGGAGCTTGGCATCTGTCCTGGCATGGGAGTCTCTAAGTGGCTATTCAGCTCTACATTCCTGAGCGCCGACTATGAGGAGGCTTGGCATCCTTTGCTCCATGGCTCATTGGTGATCTTGATTTGTCCAGGACATTTTGGGACTAAGAATTTCAACCCTGTCTTTGGTTGGTAGATTAGATATAGCAGCTGAGACTAACATGCTTTGGGACAACTGGTATTAGAGTGATTCTCAGCACAGTGGAGAGGGATGAGCGACTGGATTTGTTCTAAGGTGCCACTAAAAAGGTACAAGGGGAACACAGCACACTGATGTACAAAGTGGTCTCAGTCTATAGTCCTGAAGCAGCTGCGTGAGTGGAGACTGGGTGATGTGGAGAGGGTCGTTTAGTGCCCCAGCTAATCCACTGCTAATCTGTTCTTTAAGTATTAGTACAGGCAGCAACAGGATGACATGATTATGGAGAAATTGTAATATTGCATATTAATTTTCTTTTATTTAAAGAGAGATGAACGTCTTCAAGGAGAAACCCTGGATCAGCAACTGGGCAGGGTTCTAGGAGAAGTGGCTCCTAGTATGTTCCTGTCATCCTTCTGCGAGACTACAGTATTTTTCTTAGGTAATTTTGCTTTACATTGGACCTGTGCTGTAGTTTGTTGAGCCTGGGGAAAGGAGCTGGGAGTCCAAATTTGCCCCTCTGTGAGCTTCATTCTGTACTTGGGAAGTATCACTGAGTAGGTCATAAGAAAGATGGGTGGCAGAACCTTGGGTATCATTTTACAGGCATCATCTTTCTCATGATAAGTTTTGGAACAGTGTTGACGCGTGGTTCAGGATGACAGAGGCCCAGAGCTCCTCTGCCCAGGGCACTTTCGGTGCCCACAGCAGGTGTTGGTATTTGAAAATGGCATCCTTGCATGGCTGCAGAATCCACAACATTACATGGCAGTTCCTGCTCCACAGGGATTGGAAGCTCTGCCCTTGTGTTTGGAACTGGTCTCCCTCCACTTACACGCAGCTCCCTAGGGAAGCAGCCTCATTAGTGAGCAAGGTTCTTGCCTCATAGCTCAGTACAGGGAGCCAGACTAGAATGAACACAACTCAGCACTTCTGCATTTCTTTCTTATGGTGACATCACCAGGTAGACTCACCAGCAGGCTGCCTCCCCCACCTCTGCTGTGGAGAAAGATAACAGCCATTCATCCTCAAGAGGAGGCTGGCTTAGAATCCTTCCGTCAGAGAAGACAGTCTGGGTCACAGACCACAGTGCCTGCATGGCCACCGGGTCACCTCTTGCAGGGCCATTGTACTATCACCGTAGGGAGTGATCCTTCAACACACACACACTGTCAGCATCTTAGTCGCGTTTCCTCAAAGCAGGGTGCTTTTGAAACCTGTGGCCCTTATTGTTCCTTTTTGTGGACACAGGTGCATTCTTTTTACTCTTGTTATAAGAAAACCAGTGCAAGCTTGATGATCACAGCAGCTGAGACCCTGCCAAGATTGCCAATCCAGGTGTGCATGTTGCATCTAAAGCGGCAGTGATGTGAAGCCAGCCCAGGGTTGCAGGGCCTGATAACTTTTTCAAAGCTGTGAATTCAGATTTTTGTGCAAATTCTATCTATTGCTACATACTGACTAGTTATTTTAAAATATTTTTTGATCCTAAAATGGATCACTATAGTGTGGAGCAGGTAGGCTCCATGTGGCTGTGAGTTTGCAATGTCTGAGTCTCATCCTGGTACCTTTGACTCTGAACCCCCTCATGTGATTGTAAATAAACGGGGAGATAGAGTGTGGATTCAATAGCAGCTGGGAAGCAGTCCCTCCCTTAGAGTGAAGCGTAGAAGGCACTGTTGGACATGACCTGTAGTCACTGTCCGTACATCTCACTATGTGTGAATCGGCATGTGAGTCTGTTGAGCACAACAGAATTGAGTTGAACCATGTCTGGATAGCAGGATGGGGTAAACTGAGCTCCAGACTCCGTTCCTGTCCCCATTCCATCGTGACAGCCCCGCAGACATGGCAGCAAACTCTGCTCGGGCTCCGTGGAGTGATGCGGCCCCATGTCCCTCCCTGTAGGAGGACTGTCGTTGATGCCAGCCGTGCACACCTTCTCGCTGTTTGCGGGGATGGCGGTCCTCATCGACTTCCTCCTTCAGATTTCCTGTTTCATGAGTCTCTTGGGCATGGACATTAAGCGTCAGGAGGTAAGTTGTTAAATGGGTCAGAGCCCATTTGATAGGAGTCTAGACTCTCCGTGGAGCAGCCAGATAGTGTTTTCTGTGACCTCTGGTCTCTGTTCCTTCAGAAAAACCGGCTGGACATCCTGTGCTGTGTCAGAGGTGCTGACGATGGGAGAAGCATCCAGGCCTCCAAAGGCTGCCTGTTCCGCTTCTTTAAGAACTCCTATTCCCCACTTCTGCTGAAAGACTGGATGCGGCCACTTGTGGTATGAACTCATCTGGGGCTTTCTCTTCTCCCTCAGATGTGTCCCCTGCCTTGTGAGAACTCACACAGTGGGGAGGGAGTGTGGCAGCTGTTAGTTTATGTGCCAAATATGTGAAAGCAAACATGTACAAACAGTACAATTTGTTTTTAACAGGACCTTAACAGTCAATATTTGCAAGGGTTTTTGAATTTTTATTTTGAAATCCTTATAAATTCACAGGTAGCACAGAGGGGCTCAGGCTCCCCGGACCTGGCCTCCCCCGAGGTACATCTTACGTAACAGTACAGAATCACAGCTGAGTTTGGTGCTGGGGGCTGAACACAGGGCCTTGTCCATGTTAGACCATGTTCTGCCAGAGCTACAGCCTGGGCCACAGAGCCGGGAGCATGCTGTCGGGGCAGTGCAGGATGTGGCTCCATGATCTTCTCACAGGAGAGTCCCACAGCCTCCTCTGAGGTCGGGACGCGGAGCTGTCCCCTCACCACCACATCCCGAGTCCCCACGAGCCAGCCACAGCTATTTCCGGTTTATATACCACATAGAGCCAGCAGCGCACTTAGCACTTCTCTGCTGACAGAGTATCAATGAGTTTGTAATCACAGTGAAAGGCATTTTTACACTTAATATTAGTTGGATGCTGTGCTCCAACCGGGGTTACCCCTGGATTTTCCCGCTTGGTCCACACAAGGAGCTGATGCCGTACATCTCCTCATTTTTCCAGTCTACTAATGAGGAAATAGAAGGTATGAGAGAGTAAGCGATCTGCCCAACGTCGCTCAGCTCCTCAGTGGCAGAGCCAAGATTTGAGCTCAGGAACTTAAACTTTGGCTACTGTGACTTCAACCACTGCCCCCTACTCCCTGTTCTGGTGCCACGTTACTTAAACTTGCTTTTCAGTTCCGAGGGGCAAAGGGTGAAGCTCAATGGTGCAGCACGTACCTAGCCTGCTCAAGGCACTGGGTTTGATCCCTCGCACTGCAAAAAAAGTGGGGAGAGAGTTCTGCTTTTTGTGTGTTTAAGATTTTATTTCTATAGGAAGAAAAGGGGCAAAGGGGAAGGAAGTGGGAGGGCTAGGGGAAAGGACAGAAGGGAATGGGATTAATATGAGAAAATGGATAAATAGGAACAAAATCTTTGTAAATAGGGAAGACTGGAGGGGTTGAAGGGAGGGCTGGGCAAGGGTGAAAAATAAGAACCAAGAGAGATTATGTAAAGGTGCAAATTTCCAATGATGAATGTCATTATATTGTATACCTGAAATGTACCAGTGATTAGAATGAATAATCGATAATGCAAAATAGGAAGAAAAGGTCCAAAGGGGTAGGGGTAGTGGGAGGGGCAGGGGAAAGGAAAGAAGGGAAAGGAAAAATGGTGAGAAATGGAAAAAATGGAAATAAAGTCTTTGTAAATAGGGAAGGGTGGAGGGCGTGAAGGGAGGGCTAGGAATGGGGAAAAAATAAGAACCAAGATGCATCATGTAAAGGTACAATTCCCAATGAGAAATGTAATTGTGTTGTGTACCTACAATGTACCAATAAAAGAATTTAATAAAAAAAAAAAAGATTTTATTTCTAATCTTAAACTCACTATTACACTAAGCAATCTTACTATTCACTTTTCCTTCCAGATAGCCGTGTTTGTGGGTGTTCTCTCATTCAGTATCGCAGTCCTGAACAAAGTAGAAATTGGATTGGACCAGTCTCTTTCAATGCCAGATGTAAGATGCTTGTTTTTTTTACTTTACCTTGTTCGGGCCCAGATGAGTACTTTCCAAAGCATGTACATGGGTGTGGTGCTGCAGGCACGTGGGCACAGTTTCTCCAGCGACAGCCTGCCGTAGTGCGCTGCCAGCATGGGCCACCCTTTGGGCACAGGCACAGAATGGGAGCCACCGGTCTTGGGAGGTTACTTCGGAGGTGCCCTTCTATGAGACAACCAGAAGGAGCACCCTGGGGCCCTGGAAGAGAATCACAAAGGCACCCTGGAGGCGACTGTGCCCTCCTGATACTCCACGGTCATCATGTCCTCAGTCGCTGTCACGTTCACCCATTGTTCTCCTGTCCTCTGCTCTTTCTTTCAGGACTCCTACGTCACAGATTATTTCAGATCCCTTGGTCAGTACCTGCATGCTGGGCCGCCTGTGTACTTTGTCCTGGAAGAGGGGCACGACTACACTTCCCTGCACGGGCAGAACATGGTGTGTGGTGGCATGGGCTGCGATAACGACTCACTGGTGCAGCAGATTTTCAACGCAGCCCAGCTGGACAACTAGTCAGTATTCCCCAGCCCCGGTCCCCTTGTCACCAGAGTCATCTCGTGCCTGAAGTCTCTCACTTGAAAATGAACTTTCTTGGAAAAATTGTTTTTATTCAAAATATTCTTTAAATCTAGCTTTACCTGAGCAAAATCTTTGAAAGGAGTAATATACTACCAGATACTTTGAAGGGTTTTTCCACTGAGTGGTAATGTAGTTTTTCTTTGGTAGCAGTATAAAGTGTAGGAAGGGAAGTTAAGTTTCAAGGGAAATTACTGAAGCTAAAGACTTTCTCTTTGTGGAGGAAACTTACTTTTTCCTTTCCTGTTCTCTAGCACCCGGATTGGCTTTCCCCCCTCGTCCTGGATTGACGATTATTTTGACTGGGTGAAGCCACAGTCCTCCTGCTGTAGAGTCTACAACGCCACTGACCAGTTCTGCAACGCTTCAGGTACTTCTGCTCCTTTCCAGGTCTTTGCTTTTTCTGAAAACTTTTAGCAGTATCACTTCACAATCATTGGCATTTTGCCTCCATTTATGCCTACTTATGTGTCGAGGCTGGGTTTCATCACCTTTGTTAATATCCCCTTCCTCACTCACTCTGACGCTTGTCACACTCCTGTCTCACAGTGTCTGTGGGGCTGCTGGTCAAACAAGGTCCCACCAGGGGACTGCTTCCCAGGTAGGGATTCTCATCCCCTCCCTGCCATGCCAATACCTCCTGGCGTGGTATCTGGCTTAGCTTCTCAGAGACGTGCTTCCTTTGTGTGTCATTGTTGCCCTACAGTTTTGTAAAAGTGTTGAGCTTGTGCTGGAATTTTCTTAACAAAAGCATGGAAGCCCTGGGCTCTCGTGATACCAGTGGAAGACATCATCAAAGCAGAAAACCTACTTTGGGGAAGGAAATGTGTGGTCTGCCTCCACAGAAACTGTTTTTATGTGCTAAATTTATTAACTATGAAAGTCACGTGATGCTGAGGGGTTTTACATAGGGGGAAAGATTCAGGAAGATAATCTCTCTTATTTTAAAATTTTTTTTAAAATCTGGAAGCCACACACCTAACCATTGGCCCCCTGTTCTCTTTCTGCCAGTGGTTGACCCTGCTTGCATCCGCTGCAGGCCTCTGACTCCGGAGGGCAAACAGAGGCCTCAGGGTGGAGACTTCATGAGATTCCTACCCATGTTCCTTTCTGATAACCCTAACCCCAAGTGTGGTAAAGGGTGAGTGCCATTGCGCCGGGCCATATAAGCACCCACTCAGCTGTAGTTGCAGCAGGAAACCTAGAGCCAACTGGGTCAGGCAGTTTGGTGGGGCCTCTTCTCTCCCCTCTCCCATCCCAAGCTGGCTGTCCAAGTGGAAAAACTTAAGATACCTTATAAGAACACTCTTAGTTTTTTGCTTTTTTGGTACCGGGGATCGAACTTCAGGACCTTGCACTTGCAAGGCAGGCGGTGGAACCACTGAGCTAAATCCCTGGCCCCAGAACACTTAGTTTTTGATGGAATTCACCCTAGCTTGGCTGCTGGTCATCGCTCCCCTTCACATCCCTGAGCCTTGCACTCAGCTACATCCCCTGCTCTTGTCTTAATTTTATATTTCAAGAGAGTCTCACCAAGTCCCCCAGGCTGGGCTGCACTTGTGATCCTCCTTCATCAGCCTCCCAGAGTGCTGGAATTACAGACGTGCATCACCACGTCCAGCAGCCGTGGTTTCTTGGTGCTGCTCTCCAGTTCCTGAACCATGTGTCTGAATGGATGTGGGCTCTATGCACATTGTGTGGGAGGCAGAGGACACATGGGTGTGGCAGGTATGAGAGAATGCCTCGATTCTGTGTGCCCTGCCAGGCCCTCGCCAGCCTGGCCACAGGAGCTCCCAGCTGTCTCAGGCCCCGGGCAGCCAGGCGCCCCCAGAAGCAGAATGTCTGCTCTAGGAACAGGAAAGCCAACCGGAGGTCTTGGGTCGATCTGGGAGCTTTTGCCAGTGGAAGTGAGTGTGTGTGTGTGTGTGTGTGTGTGTGTGTGTGTGTGTGTGTGTGTGTGTGAGAGAGAGAGAGAGAGAGAGAGAGGGGTGAATTCTGCTGCACCTATTTCTCGTAAGCATCCTCAGTGGCCAAGTCATCGCAGTCAGTCATATGTGTCATGTCTGTTTTGAGACCTACACTGTCTTGGGGGCACCTGGCCTTCCTCTGTAGCTCGCGCGGCCTGCCTCACAGTTGTGAAGGCTCACATGGCCAGTCACCAGCAGGGCCCAGCTGGAGCCCCAGCCCCTACCCTTCCCTGCTTCCTGCTACAAACGGCACCAAGTAACTCCATATCAGGACATATTTGATTACAAGCAGAACCAGACAGACACCAGCAGCCGCACACCATGCAGCGGTAAAGAGAAGCCAGTGTGGGCGAGAACAGGGTGAGGCCTCCCAGGTCCCTGTCCCTTATCAGGCTCCGTCCTGAGCCCTGAGCCGGCTCAGGGTACTTGGCTTAGCCAGTGGCTCTTCCTCAGGGGACATGCTGCCTACGGCTCTGCTGTGAAGCTCCTCGGCAACAGCACCAGCGTCGGCGCCACGTACTTCATGAGCTACCACACAGTGCTCCGGACCTCAGCAGACTACACCGATGCTCTGAGGAAAGCCCGGCTTGTGGCCAGCAACATCACCAAAACCTTGAGTGCCAAAGGCAGCAGCTACCACGTGTTCCCGTACAGGTGAGGGTGCATCGGTGTCTCCCTCCTGGCCGCCCTGGGGAAGCCAGTCCTCAGTGTTGGTCCCCACATCAAGGGCTTGCTGAGCATCGCCAAGTGGGAGAGCTGCGGACACGGAACTTGCTCTGTGCTGCTTCCTGCCTGGAACAGACCCACTGCGAGCTGGCGTGGAAGGAGGTGCAAAGCTGGGCTCCCCAGGGAGGCCTTGCCAGCCGGAACTCTTAGCTGGCAACATCCGGACACCCCTGACTGTCAATTGGGACAACCTGCTCTTCTGTGCAAGAGACGGTCATGGTGTGTGTCCTAATTCTTGGGAAGAGCCAGTTAACTGGGGACAGTGCCCTGAGGTAGTTTCCCATCAGGTCTGGGCTTTTTCTCTTCTTTCCAGCGTACTGGGGGACCCAGATTGTAAATGCCCCTAAGCACAGAGTGGCTCACAAACAAAACTCTATTAAGTACACATCTTGGGTCGCTGTGACTGCTCCTTGGTGTCAGCGGCCGTCCCAGAGCCACTGGGTTTCTCTCAGGACGCCTCTCGGGCCCTCAGCCCTGCAGCAGTGGCGAGTGGGAGCACTCACGGACTCTTTCTCCTCCCCGCAGCGTGTTCTACGTCTTCTACGAGCAGTACCTGACCATCGTCAGTGACACCATCTTTAACCTCAGCGTGTCCCTGGGATCCATATTTCTGGTCACCACGGTGGTCCTGGGCTGCGAGCTGTGGTCTGCCATCGTCATGTGTGTCACCATCGCCATGATCCTGGTCGACATGTTTGGCGTCATGTGGCTGTGGGGTATCAGTCTGAACGCAGTTTCTTTGGTCAACTTGGTAATGGTGAGTCTGGGTGGCTCCTGCGTCATGTGAATCATGCCTTGGATTCCTCATTAACCCTCAGATGGGGAAAATACCAAGTGTGGGGGAAACACCGCATCGTGCCGAGGTGGGGGGAACATTTGGAGTCAGGCAAGGTGTGGAGGGTACAGAGGAGACCCTGGGAGCAGAAGCACGCACTTTTTTCTCCTTACTCTCACCTTTTTCTCTAATCCCTTTGCTTGCAGCTATAGCAAGTAGCCTGGTTCGTGGTGGGTATCTTAGTAGAAGCGCGATTTCGTGGGCTAGCTTGGGGATTCTGCTTTTATTATTCTGGGGGTGTTTTGGCTTTTTTGAGACAGGGCTTCCCTGTGTAGTTCAGGCTGTCCTTGAACTCACTCTGTAGCCCAGGCTGGCCTCAAACTCATGGCACCCCTCCTGCCTCAGCCTCCCAAGTGGTGGGATTACAGGCATGTGCCACCACGCCTGGCTCATTTATTGTTCTGAATGGACTGTAAAAGCATGTAGCCCAGAGACAGCAAGATGTTCATATTTTACTTAGAAAACTGTCCTTCTCTCTTGGGTCCCCCCACCCCCATGCAGTTGCCAGGTGCTTTTTAATAGTCTTGAGGACATGCGCATCAGAGGTGTCAGTGGAAGGTAGAGGCAGTAGGCCTGTGCTTTCCACAGGAATGCACTCTGCCTGGGGTATAGTGGCAGAGCCCAGGAAAGGATGACTGGCTTGCCCCCAAAATGAGATAAACCAGGGCCTGAGGGTTCCAAAGTTCCCGCTGCAATCTGTGGGTGAGGTGGGGGCTTTGTTATGTAAGTCACAGGGTTCTTAAGGGTTCCCTGGTCACCGCCTCTCAGAGGGGATCCCCTGGAAAAGAGCCGTCCTCTCACAGCAGCGCTTTGTTCCAGAGCTGCGGCATTTCCGTGGAGTTCTGCAGCCACATAACCAGAGCGTTCAGCGTGAGCTGCAGGCGGAGTCGCGTGGACCGCGCAGAAGAGGCGCTGGCCCACATGGGCAGCTCTGTGAGTATCCTCAGAAGGGCAATGCAAGGTGCAGCCCAGTGACCGTGTTGTCGCCCAGGGGAGGAAACCCTAAAATACAGTGAGGGAAATAGAACTGGGCTCCTCTGCACAGAAGGCAGCGCCCATGGGTAGTAAGCTTTCGGGCAGTTCACCAAACAGCACAGCTGCGTCTTGTACAGACCTGCAGTTCTCCCAGACTACACGCGTTTGCGATTTCCAAGCAGCAGACCTGAGAAGGTGGACTGGGCCGAGCTGGAAGCCGGCACAGCCTGGGGCCGCTGCGCCCAGAGCCCAGCAAGCAGCCTGTAGCTGTCATGGGTCAGCCCATCTCCACCTGTTGTTGGCTGTGGACTAACGGGTACAGTTCAACAGCAAAAACTAAAGTTTCCCTTATAACCATTTAGATACTGAAAAGTTTCCATCTGACTCTAACAATTATCTCAGTTTAGGCGGAAAAGACACGGTCTACACAGCTCTACCCCTAAAATACTCTCATTCTTCCCTCCAGGCTCATTCAACAATTTTAGGTACAGCTTATCTTGTAACTCTGAGAGTTGTGGCCATTACTCCAGATCTTGAACTAAAACACCTTGTTCCATTTGAATAGGTTGATAAAAGTAGTTTCTAACCACTGTCCTCTGTTCTAGGTATTCAGTGGAATCACACTTACAAAATTTGGAGGGATTATGGTGTTGGCTTTTGCCAAATCTCAGATTTTCCAGATATTTTACTTCAGGATGTATTTAGCTATGGTCTTACTAGGAGCCGCTCACGGACTAATATTTCTCCCTGTCCTCCTCAGTTACATAGGTAAGAGTTCTTATTTTTAACAGGTCACATGGGGTAAAGCAAGTTACTAAAAGTAATTGTTATCTTAAAGCATCCTTTCATGATAGTACTTGAACTTGTACTAATAGTCATCTAATAAATAGTACACAGTAACAATTCTCTGTTTAAGAGAACAGAAAGTCCTATCAGGAGCTTCATGAATGTCCAAACTATTTCATTAGGAAATGGCTGTTACAATACTTTTACTTCTGTGGCTATTCCACCTTACACAAATGGCCCCTGGTTGGAGGGCAGTATTAATTTTGCCCTACCGCTTTGAACCTAAGATGAAACACTGAAATAGAAGAGAAAATGAGGGGCTTTTTGCAATTTCTAGAAGATAGGAACTGCTATTGCAATCCAGTATAGACTAGCTCCTTTTCTCTTAAATTCTTTCTCTTCCAGGGCCATCAGTAAATAAAGCTAAAATTCACGCCACTAGAGAGCGATACAGAGGCACAGAGCGAGACCGACTCCTGAATTTCTAGCTTTCTGGGGCTTGGCGACTCTGAACTGTGTTTGAGGGCCAGGCTGTTGACCACTGGACTGTAGTTAGGCTGTCCGGCTGGGCGGGTGGCAGCAGGCCATGCGCAGCAGCCCCAGCCCCGGGCGTGTACACTCAGGAATGCACATCTGACTTGTGAAGCAGTATTAATGAACTCTGAAGGCAACCACAGGACACTAACGTGCCCTCCAACCCCCGTTTCTTCAAGAAAGGAACCTCATCTTCAGCAAAAGGAAAGATGCCAGGATGGCTGGGAATGCGATCTGTCCACCGACACTTTCTGAAGGCCAATCCATGCACTCTCCTTTTTAGGAGTAAGCCATCACATTCGACACCATATTTTTAGTAACATTTGAGGGTGTTGTAGATACACTTTATTATAACATTTTGTAGTTTAAAGAGCTTTATTAATGCAATAAATTAACTTTTACACATTTTTATATTAAAAAAAAAACCCTAGCAAATGATTTCAGAATGTTGTAGGCCTCATAAGAGCTTGATCTCCAAAAACCTGTTTAAAAAAAGCAACATGTTCCTCACAGTGTTCTCCTGTAAAGGAAAATAGAGATTGAATCACCAGTTAGGAAAACAAGAGACTATAGCTCATAGATTGTATACTGGGTTTTAACTTATTTTCCTTTAATAAAATACCTTGTTTTCCTAAGTTTTGGGGTTTCCCTTTATGTTGGAAACTGGGATCCTCACAGCCCCTAGCCCACTGCCACATGCTTAGAGGGACCAGCACAGCAAACGGAGGAGATGCTAGCGTCACTCAGTCACTAAATGCCACCTTGCACTCTAGGGGTCCAACTTAAGAATCTGACTCAAAATTTCTGTTCCTTCCCCAATGTAAATAAAACCCTGTCTTAGATTTTAACACTACTTGGAGATGAGAGTAATTAGCCAGTGTTTCTTACCCAAAACTGAAGCATAACTTTAATAAACCCTAGCCATTTAGAACTCGTAGCCACAATTTAACTTTGTTCCTGAGTCTTCCAAGGCGTCATTTCATATCTGCTGTCAGCCATGGGCTGCATCCAAATGGCCTGGTCAGGCACTGCACATCTAGCCACACCCCCGTGAATCCAGAGCACAGTCCGACTGCATCTATCTAAGCCTGCAAGTCCTCAACTACAGAGTGTGGCTAAGGCCAGGCAGGGTGCAGGACATTTGTTTATGAAAAAGGGAAACACAGGAGTCGTCCTTAGAGGCTGCTCACGCAACAGTACAGATGTGGGAATCCTACATCTTTGAACTGCACTCACCTGGTGTGAAATTAGGGTTCCCTCGCAAACGCTGGTTTCGCTGTTCAAAAAACCGGAATATAGTATAGAAGAGCATGTTGTCTTCAGTCTGCTTTGCAGCATCTAAAAATTTCCGTGCAGAAATGTTGTCGTGGCCACCAATGCCCCGGATGAACCTCAAGGCAGCCAACACCTGGTGTTTGGACAGAAGGACTTCCACTATCTCATCGTTGGCAGTCGAGAGCCGCTGGAAATAACGAGGAGAGACAGGCGGGTCAGGGCCAGCAACAGGGACACACACAGTGTTGCAGGACGCTGTGGCGGCCCAGCGTTACCTTCAGCATATCCAGAGACAGCTGGTGGGCGGGAGGGTAGAAACTTTCTAGGGACAGCAGCAGGCAAGCCTGAAAGACAGTTTCACAGTGGCCTCAGCTGAAGGGTGACACTGCAAATTCTCAATCACAACAAAGTGAAGGCCGGTGCCACCCACCAGAGGCTTGGAGTCGCTGAGCACGTGGTACTGCAGGAACTGGTGCAGCATGTAGAAGAGGTTGTGTTGGACCAGCGTCTTGATTACCAGCTCGTGTAAGTAATGCTGGGAACCGAAGGAGAGAGGTCACTTCCAAGTCACCCAGCTGCCACTGACTGGGCACCCTGACTACCAAAGGCAGGCATGCTGTCCCCCACAAAGTGGCTTCACCTTCCACTTCTTGATCCAACTAAAAACGATGTGGGAATGTCAGGAAAGGCCCTCAGAATTCTGTCAGGTACATGGACCCTTCCAGTATGTGAGAGAGTTGTCTTCTCCGTGAAGACGGATGGTGCTTTTTTTTTTTTTCCTTTTTTCTTTGTTTTTTTTGGTACTGGTACTGGGAATGGAACTCAGGACCTCGCGCTTGCGAGCGGACGGTGCTTTTCTGTACTAACTCGGGGTGACGTGCCAACTGCAAGGTACCTGCACTGCGATCTGAAACTGGTTCAGAGAGCGGATGTATTCCATCAGCACGGCTATCACGAACTTGTGCGGCATCTCCTGCAGGGGGAAGAGGCTTTGTAAATGGCAGAGCTGCAAAGGAGCTCCATGGAACTCGTTTATTCCCAGCCAGCCCTACTGGTTCCCATGAGAAAATGGCCCATTCACCCCGTTTTACTGGCTTCACACACGAACCCAGACATCAGAAGCCACCCTGACGCTCCCCTCTGGGGACCCTCAGTCAGGAGAGCTGCGGCACTGCACACCTTGCTTTCTGTGAACGGCGACAGCACGTGAGTGTAAACATCGGACTGGTCCACCACGGCCTGGGTCCGCACAGGCCTTTTGAGAGGCGGGTTGCTGCGGCTCTGCCCTGCTTCCACAGCCTAAAATGATAAATCCCAAGCTTGTGATGGCAAAATCTTCTAGAGAAAAGGTGCAGATTATAGTCAGTCCAAAAAGACTGGATTCCCAGGGGTGAACCTTGGACACAAACCGAAGACTTTTCTATCACTATTTACATAAAACCTCCTGTGCTGGCTGGGAAGAGTTCGGTCACAGTTGGCCATTCTGAAAATACTTCAGGACTCTTGTGGGTAGAACTAAGTCAAACTAAGAGTTTTCTCCTCAAATACATATTTTTTTTAACCTCTGAAAATTTCTAACCTCCCTAATTTTCTTAATCCAGGACTATGCGACTTTGTTATCTAATAAGAATGAAATGGCTGTTTGCATCGTTTTAGGAAACTGATTGGCAATAAATGAACAGCTCTTGCAATGAGTCTATGCTGGCATTTTTTCTTTTTCTGCAGTGATGGAACCCAAGGCCTCTCGAGTGCCAGGCAAGCACTCTACCACTGAGCTCCACCCAGCTCGGTGGGGGTCTTTCAGTGGTGAGCCACAGCACCCTAATGTGACTGAGACCCTCGCTTCTCTGCCTCATGTTTCAAAGCAGCACAGACCAATGCAGATGCTGTCGTAGCTGTAGGGTACAGCCCAAGACCCCACGTTCCCTCAGCTCCAGGGCTGCTTGCGTTGCTGTGCGTGGGCCCCTTGAGGCCTGGTAGCCAGGGTCAGGAAGCCCAGAAACTGACCCGTCGGTTCCTATCTTCTGGGTCCCGCTGCCCAGGACACCAGGAGTGGGGCCAAGAGAGGAGTCTAGCAGGGCTCAGCCACCCTAAGGGCTGACAGAGGACAGAGACAGACGCAGGGCCAAGCCGGCCCAGCCTCCGTCCACAGCCTGCTCTGGGGATGGGTCCTGGGTTATTGTTTCAAGCCACTTCCCCTGTCAGCCTCAGGACTAATGTGGTCCTTGATCCCATCTGACCTAACCTTTTCTACTTCCTCACTTTACAAAATACGTTGTACTGATGCCATCGTACCTGGTAACCAGCCATGTTCATTCTTTCCAGCCCTTCACTACAAACACTTGATGCCTCCTAGTGACGAGCACACTAGGAGAAGTTACTACAACCAAAGGGAAAGAGGGAAGGAACAGCAAGTAACACAAATCACATTTCTGCTTTGCTAAGTGCCGGCTCTGGTGACGTAGAACATAACACACAGCTCAGGCTGGTTTTCTTATCGAACAAGCAGACAGGATCAGTCTCTAAGATAAAACAGATCTAACAGTTGAAGCAAAAACAGTGAAGGCACTAAGAGGAAGCCTCAAGCGGTGGGATGCAGGGACTCCAAGTGTCCTGTGGCCACCCTGTCCTGTGCCATGCATCAAACTCTGTGACACTATGCTGTCATGATCCTGCATTGTGTTACTTAGGAAATCCATGATGGGTAGAGGAGGAGACTTCCTGGCAATCCATCCAACTTACCATGGTATAACTCTGCTCGGCATCCAAGTACTTTTTATACTCGTGGTTGAGTTTATCAAAAACAGTGGCTATCACAGGCAGTGTGGCTCTGTCTGACTCACTCAGCACTGGAAAGGACACAATGTGCACGTAGATGAGACCAACCACAGAATTGTAGGAACCGCAGTGTGCTGCTGATAAATTAATCTTACAGGTCTACCAGTACAAACATTCCTTGAAAGGACGCTCGGGGAAATGTTATGCTTCAGAGACCTGACCCCTGGAAACAGCTACCCTTCCAGTGACTAGGAAAGAAACAGCTATGGTGGTATCAGAAGATTCCCAGTTTCTTTTTTGGTTTTTTTTTTTGTACCAGGGATCGAACTTGGGTTCTCGTGCTTTTGAGGCAGGCGGTAGAACCACTGAGCTAAATCCCCAGCCCTTAGGTTTTTGTTTTTGAGGTGGGCCTTCACTATGTTGTCCAGGGAGCTCTCAAATTTGTGGGCTCTAGCCTCCAGAGTAGCTGGACTACAGGTATGCATCACCTCTCCTGGCACAGTGTAAGATTCTTAAAGTAGCAACATGGCAGTTAGTGTCCCGGATTCTGAAATATGTCTGCCTTAAAGCTAGCAATGATGATCACTTCTCGGCCTTTTGGCTAAGATCAAGTGTAAAGCTAGCAATGGTGGCCACTCTACGTGTGTTTCCTGGAAGTCTGTTTTCACCTGGTCTTTTCTACCATTATCTGCAAGCTGTGTTTGTAATTCACAGCCTTTCCAAGGGATGAAACAACCCTCCCTTCAATACGCAATGAGGCTGGCAGTTACAGACAGGCCTACCTGAGTGGCCACCTCCCAAGGGGGCCAGCAGTGTGGGGAGGAGGCATCGACTTACTCTGCGAACAGACAGACAGGATGACCATCTTGCACTCCTTCCTCTGGACGAGAAAGTCCATCAGTCTTCCTTTATCTGGCAAGAGATTTACTATGGGCTGAAGTTTCACCTGCAGGTTCCAGAGGTAACCTGGATATTAAGAAGCAGCAGCGTTAACAATACAGTGCAGGGCTGGGGATCTGGCTCAGTGGTTTCACCGCCTGCTGCTCAAGCATAAGGACTCGAGTTTGATCCCTGGTACCAAAGAAAAAAAAAAGTGCAATTTTCGGCAGGGCATTTAGCTCAGTGGTTCCGGCGCCTGCTGCACAAGTGCAAGGACCCGAGTTCAATCCCCGGTACCAAAAAAAAAAAAAAAAAAAGACAATACAGTGCAGCCAGGAGAGCTACCCAACAAGTGGCTCACCCAAACATCAGCTGCGATGGCTGCAAGCATGGTTAATGGCCCTTTCCTCCTAAGCATCTTGGACCAGGACACTGAGGAACACTCTGAAGACCACACTTTGTGCATGCTCAGCTGATTCCTTACAACAGGCTGACAGGGCAGGGGGTGGGCTGCCGCGCTAAGTGTACAAGCCTCCTCCTGACCCAACTCCTGATGAAATGCACACGCAGGAGGCAGAAAGGAGGGGAGAACAACACCACCCCCATCCTCAGTGACTCACACCAAAACCTCTCTACACCAGCAAGCACTGTGTCTACCCCAGAGAGCACGCCTCCACCTACCCTGGCTGGCACTGATGATAAT